TTTTTTTTTAGAAAAACCGAAAACTACTTGAAACATTAAATCGTCGATTTTTCTTCATTAGCCTGTACTTCTAGTTCCAAGACAGGGGGAAATTGTGTTTTCATGAGAATTGCACATCAACTACTGACTAGCGTTCAATCAGGTTATCCGGTCATTACCATTATACAGAAGCTTCGAAATTCTTTCTCACTATTCTTGAGATGCAACAATTAATGAGAAAGACAAATATTTTTGAAAACGCAGATGGCACATACCGGCAGGGTCTACAACATCCTTGTAGTTTTGACCAGCTTCAAAGTTTGACAGGGGTGTGCTACATGATGTAGAGTATGGCATCACCTTCAAATGCGGGATTTGTAGAAGAAATGATGTAATTTGCAAATTTGATAGGATAGAACAATTTCAACTGATTTTATTTAAAATTATTGCATAAAAAACCGACTAAGCCTATTTTTCAAACTAGCAAATAGATGTAAGTCACGTATGTCAAGTACAGACTGTAGTACCTTAACACCTCTATAGACAAGTCCCTTCTTGAACAACTCGCTGAAGGCCCACCACACACTTTCCATAAACCAGGGATAAAGAGTTTTATAATCATTTTGGAAGTCAATCCAGCGACCCATCCGAGCAACAGTTGTTTCCCATTCCTGCAAAAGATACAAAGACAAGTAATTTCAAATAAACGAAGTCGAGCAATCTCCAAAGAAAATGGGTATCATAAATGAAATTGAGTGAACGTAATCAAGATCCTTCAGTTTAAACTCACAGACTGTACACCAAAACAACGCGGAAAGGCGGTGACAAATGAAAGGTGGTTTAGTGATATCGAATGTTTTTTTTTTTATTTTCGAAACTATATGGAGTCTGCATGTTAGGCAGATGAAGCTGCTGTATAAAAATTCTTTCCAACATCTACTGATCGCTTTTTGTGCAACAATATTGGCTCAAGTATGTGCTGATAACTGTAACTAGACGGCAACTGAATGCTAATTTGAACGGTAGAAGTATATCAAAAACGGCGCAAAAATCCAGGGGCTAGCAATGCGCTCAATAACGAATCAACGAATTCTTATAATCTTATTAGCATGGAAGAATAGCTCAAGTGTTTTTGTGTGTTCGCAAAAACACCTAAGACATCGGGTGATATTCACTAAATAATAATGTTATTGAGGACGGCGTTCGAAATTTGAGCCCTATTCCGCATTCTAAGCCAAAAATAATTTCGGATTCCATTAAATCTTTTGTTGAAAGGTCATTTGATGAGTTGATCATATCGCATTCTTCGCGCCTAACTGCGGAGGGTGGATGTATGGTAGATGGTCGGATCACCGATTTGGCTAAAAGAGATATAAGATAGTTATGTAAATGCTGATTAAAAACGTCGTATGCATTCACTATGGTAGCATCTTACTGAAGACATACGTTAATGACTGTACGGGTCAAATCAAAATCCAGAATGAAATTACCATGTGGAATTTATACGATATCGTTATAAGCATGTCAAATAGTTCCTCTAGAGAACTTTTCAGGCAAATCCGTGTTTTGATCCCTTTCTCCTCCTTTTCCTGACAATATCTCCACAACAAGGCGCTAATGCTCGAAACGGATATGATTATCGATTACCATGTCAATAACACCTCTGAGCGAAGTTTGAGCGAAATCCAAATTTTAAGTCTTTTAATTCCGCGTAATTGGAATACTAGCGATTTGAATAGATGTTCCTTACTAATTGAGATAGACGTCAGAAAAGGTATTGAGGGCGATAGTGGAAATTTTTGGGGTTGACACAATTTGCCTCACAGAGTAGCAAGCCGCAGTGATTTGAACACTTCTTTTAAATAGCGAACATCAATGGGAGAGAAGCTCAAATGGTTGTTATGGATTGCTCTTCGTAACAATTCTGGTCAATGTTGCATAGAATTTACAGCTCTGAA